AGGTATATATTATATCAGTGATATCAAACCAACAAAATATGGTCATCAAATGTTTCTTTCCAATTACCAAGAAGAGTATATAGTCTTGTCTTCTAGTAAAATGAACGAAGAACTTAGTAAAAATTTTGAATATCACTTTGTTAAAAATAATGGTATATGCAAGAATAAAAATAATAGAGAATATTTTCATTACAATTTAGTTTAATCTCATGACTATCGTTAAATCGCATCAGTGTTTACACATAAAAAATTCCCCCTGTAGTAGCAGTATAGGTATATAAATCTGGCTCCAGTGGAGTTGCGGCAGAACCCCCATTACCTATACTACTCATTATATACATATTCATTGGCTTTTCCATTGGACGAGAGGTCAGTCACATGACCGCGAAATTGACGTTCATAAGTGTATGAACGACACAATTTGTCGTTCATGCGTTTTTCACGAGATCGTTTTCATGAAATGACGTAAACACTGACGGAATACTTCCACATACCTGGGGAAACCACTGGGAATTCCCTAGCACGAAAACATACATAAGCGTTCTTTCTGATAATTTAGAACCTTTAGTCTTGGTCTCAGCGTTTCAGTATACATTAAGAAACGTCAGAGAGCTTGACTCCATGATTGTTCACGAATATCCTCGCAAGGGCCCATTCTAATGAACAAACGAAGAAATGCACATCCAAACTATCGTAGTATCGACTCGAGACTATCCAGGCTGACAGCGAATCTATGAATTTAAGTTGTTGAGGACAGTGCTTTGGGGACCGCCCGAGATTATGGGGACCACCCGAGCATGAGCAAGATGGCGGCACTTCCGGTTCGGGGAGGGGCGTGTGCGCATCCAAGATGGCGGAACATCCGGTTCCGGGGAGGAGCGTGCGCCATCCGGTTTGATGACGTCACTCAGAAGTGGGTTATACGTCACGTCCGGTTCCGAGGGGCATCCCCCATCCAAGATGACGGCGGCGGGAGGAAGGAGGAGGAAGGAGGAGGGTTCTTTGTTTTGGTTTGGTGGTGGTGGAGAGGGTAGTCAAAGCAATGATGAAAGCAATCTTTCGGGAGAGATGGGTGGCGCTGAAAAGGGCCGTTGGAAACAAACAGGAACGGGAACCGGAAACGGGAAACAGGAACGGGAACGGAAACGTCATCCTAGGAAGGTGGCTCTGATTTGCGTTCCCGTTTTCGGTTCCCGTTTTATCATCTTCCCCTTCCAAACGGCCATTTCCAGGGCCTCCCACTTCCTTGAAAGATCTCTTTCATCATTGCTTTGACTACCCTCTCCAACAACAAAACAAAACAAAGAACCCACCTCCTCCTCCCTCCCGCCGCCATCTTAGATGGGGATGCCCTCTCGGAACCGGACGTGACGTAGAAGCACTCCCTCCCCTGAACCGGAGGTGCCGCCCTCCCCTGAACATGAAGTGCCGCCATCTTGGATGCGCACACGCCCCTCCCCCGGACCAGGGTGTGCCGCAATCTTGCGCATGCGCAGAGTCACTTCCGGTTCCAGAATCTCGGGCGGTTCTAGGGTACTGTCTACTACTACTAATTTACCTTAGTGTCTGGTGGACGCATTTTTAATCACCTTTCAATGATCGTCCAGTTGATCAATGATGACAAACACATGTAAGGCCACGGGTTCATTAACAACTTCGGAAATCTCTCCAGTCACGTTTATCGTGTCGGCCATTTTGACGTCTTGTACTCGATATAAATGTATTACGACGCGCTGTCATTATGATTGACTTACTGAGGTAGTTCTTTACAGACCTTTATCATCTAATGGTGATATTATTTGAACACATGTTTTGAGTAAGATGTTTCTGCAGAGCAACTTGGGCATCCATACACTCATGTCACCTCTCTTTTCGAGGAACTACTTTATCACTCGATATAACTGGTGGTGGTATGGCTGTCAGTGTAAACATGAAGTCACACGTACCCTTGCGTAACATAAGTTCGATCACATACACAATCCCGCGCCGTACTAGCGGAAAACAAAGCAAACATAATGAAAAAAAAAGCTCACCTTAACTACTGTTTTTTAGCTTCAATTTTGGCAAGTTCCAATGAAATCTACAGTCAGATCGATCGATACTTCGTCCGCTATGTTTTAAGCCAACAAACATGACCTAGAAACAACGTCACATAAGTTCGGTACCTGATTGGTTGGCTCGCTCTCCCGCATACAGTGGAATGTATGGAATGCTATCCGTGTCAAAGTACATCACACAATGCCACGTTGTCAGATTTATCGTTTTTCTCGTAATTTAAAAAAAATGCTACACACATGTTAAAAAATGAAGAAAACATGAAAATTAACATACAATGTATTTACACAAGATACAGTCTGGATATTACTCTTCTTTTTCGTTATGGCAAGGACACCAGAATTCAGAGTTTCTTCTAACTACACGCACGGAAGTGCAATAACGAAGGTGTACCCAGTGCTGACAGGTTGGATGAGTACATTAAGCGTAGTTAGTGTAAACTTCTGAATAACAGTTGCCAGTTGCCTGTGGCTCACGTTTGCTGTAAACACAACAAACTTCATTATCTGCCTCTCTGTCGCTGTCAGAAGATCGATATCGTTGATAGATACGTGAGAATTATCCCCCGATTTGCTTGTTGACGGTCGGGGCGATGCATTTCGTCTTGGATATTGGTTTGGAGCTTTTAGGTGGTTGAATTTTTCTTTTTGGCACATATGTCTTTGCCTGATGTGGAACTATTTTATTCACAATAGAAGACTCTGTTATGGGCTTCCCACCAATAACGGCACTGAGGACGTTTCTTTTCTTTGTAGGCACCGTCTTCTTCATTAAAACATCTTCTTTGTCTCCAATGAACTCACACAAATTGAAGGTCAATTCTTAAATGAACTTTCACAGAGTGAGGGCCAAACTGTATGAACGTCGGAGCTTGCAATCAGCATGAATGCCAAATTTACATACTGAAATTTAACAATGGATTAAGAATTTAATAATTTCATATAGATCAAAGACCAAGCTATTTCTTTTTTGGACACACGAACTCGTTCAGTCCGAACAGAGACTATTTAATAGATCTATTATTTATTATATGGTCTCTGGTCCGAAGTAATAAATAGCCTAATCGGGAACAGGTATTCAAGTTATTTTAACTGACATTCACACGTTCATAATTCAAAATCATAAAGTTCTTGTTTATATATTGATATAACCAATAAATTATAAATATATTCGGCACTGCATATATGTCGTTCGTACCAACCTACTTTTCAACGTCTTTCAACTGGCACGCTTCATTAAACATGAACATGAACAACAATGACCCAAAATGGTGTGATTAAGTTTATCATGTGCCTTTTTGTTTCTTCTTTGAGACATACTTTCAACATATTTTCTCCAATGAATAGTACCACTGAGCGACCTTCAACTTCGGTCGCCAATGTGTTAAAAAGTTCTGCGAAGAAGTTGTGGTACCTTTTCTGTGTTTTTGCTCAATTTGAGGTTTAGAAAGCATTAATGGAATTTCCAAGAATACGTACGAATATGAAAAGCGGCAATTTTTCACACAAACTGTTTTTTACAGATGTCAGTAGTTATGTATTACTGTATGAATGTTTTTAAATACGCTTTGGTACTCTTTGTGATAAACGATGCCTTGCTCAAATACAGTGAAGAAAGAAATACACTCCATTCACCATCGTTAAACTGGGTATTTAATGGGTTTCATTGATAAATACATAGATGCGTAGATATTTGATCATTTTCAAACTTTTAACCAACATAATTATGAAGGTTTCAAACATTCCTTCGCATGTGGATTTTCAATCAGTCGGTGCAATTTGTTCAAACTGAAAAATAATAATTCAATGGCGGCACATTTGAACGAAAGTGTAAACCAAAGGAATTTGACTAACTTCATATGCGTTGTTTATGGACAGTAGAGTTGTGAAAATGACTCAGATGTGTTAGAAATTTACTATTTTTTGCGATGTTGCAATTGCTATGGGTTTAGGGTAATCCAATAATATTTCATTTCAATTCTCTTAGCATGAGGTTTCAGAAGGACATAGATCTATATGTCCCTGCACAGCAACAGCGTTTTGTGCAGGGACATACATGTCCAAATGGCATCAAGGGGGGTAAGTGGGGAATCTTTATGACACCAGGCATCATATGGACAGTCATCAACCTTGTGACTGCACAGGACATTCAATCCACACAAGTGCACATACAACTGATGCAGATATTCATTGTAGGTTTATAATAGTTCAATAATTGCGGATTTGATTTGATGACTTATGCATTGACAGATTTATTTAGTCATTTTCCATCATCAAGTGGCAACGACACTCATGGTAATATAACATTGTTTCAATTGTAGGAAACATGGCTGTGGACTATGGTCTCATGATATCAGCTGCATCACCGGATGTCAGCAACTATACCGTTACAGGACAGGCCGGTTCTATAATATCCAACAGGGTGTCTTTCGTGTACAACCTGACAGGACCGTCAATGACCTTAGACACAGCGTGTTCCTCCTCCATCGTGGCCATACACCAGGCAGGACTGGCACTCAAAGCAGGTAGGTATAGCATCTCATGACTGGCACTCACAGCAGTTGGGTATAGCACTTCATGACTTCTTTGATAGGCATTTAGAAGTTGGAATACTAAGTAAGGAAAATAATTTCTGGATGAAGAACTTCTTTATTACAATTAAGAGCGACGTTATCAAGCAAGTGATACACAGAGTGTAGTTTGCAAGTATATATACAAGTAGGAGGTAATGTTTATACACAAGACCTGTTATGAAGAAGGGTAGTGATGACAACCATCGGTGAAGTCAGTGACATAAACAAAGGATGAAGCCAGTAATATAAACAACGGGATTATGGCTGAGGGGTCTTTGATGAGTTGTAATGGTATGTAATGGTATGTAATAGCCTTGGTCACGGTTGATTGACTGCTGGAATCTTTTGATGTTGATGGCTTCTTGTAGTTTCCTGATCTTGAAGTCTTTGAGGTTGGTGGTGAGGGCTGTGACTCTCTCCCACTGAATGTTGTTGCTTGGGTTGCAGGGATGTGGTCTGATAGAGCTGATTTAGAGTCATCTTTGGAGACTGAGCTTTGATTTTCTTTTATTCGGGTTTTGAGGGGCCTAGATGTTTCTCCTATGTAAGTTTGTCCACAATTGCACAGAATGTGGTACACTGCTCCTGATGGTTATAGCTTGTGACTGGATGGTGGTTTCCCTGGGGCTTTATTTGTGTTCTGAATGGTATGACTTCTCTTGAAAACTACATCAATGTTGGCCTGTTTCTTGAAGAGTCTCTGGTTTTTATGGCTAACTGTTCCAAAGTAGGGGAGGCTGATAACAAAGGGTGCAGGCTGTTAACGTGGGGATTTCTGAGATTTCTTGGTGATGTTCTGTATCGTCTGTTATACTAGTTGCTCAGGATGGAGGTTATACTGTGTAAATACTTGTTTGAGGTAGCTTAGTTCAGTAGTTAGATGTTGCTTCATGGAACAGATGTTGGGAGCTCGTCCTGCTAGGGTCAACAGTCTGAACCCTTTAATATCAGCTTCCCCTACTTTGGAACAGTTAGCACTTCATGACTGGCACTCCGAGTAGGTGGGTACAGCACTTCATGACTGGCACTCACAGCAGGTGGGTACAGCATCTTATGACTGGCACTGACAGTAGGTGGGTACAGCATCTCATGACTGGCACTCACAGCAGGTGCGTATAGCATCTCATGACAGTCGCTTACAGCAGGTGTGAAAAGCATATCATGACTTGCACTGACAGCAGGTGGGTACAGCACTTCATGACTGGCACTCACTGCAGGTGGGTATTGCATCTCATGACTGGCACTCACAGCAGGTGGGCACAACACTTCATGACTGGCACTCACAGCAGGTGGGTACAACATCTCATGGCTGTCGCTCACAACAGGTGGGTATAGCATTTCATGACTGTCGCTCATAACAGGTGGTTACAGCATCGCATGACTGGCACTCAAAGCAGGTGCTTATAGCATCTCATGACTGTCGCTCAAAGCAGGTGTGAAAAGCATCTCAGGACTGGCACTCACAACAGGTGGATACAGCATCTCAGGACTGTCGCTCACAACAGGTGGGTATTGCATCTCATGACTGGCACTCACATCAGGTGGGTACAGCATCTCAGGACTGGAACTCACAGCAGGGGGGTACAGCATCTCAGGACTGGAACTCACAGCAGGGGGGTACAGCATCTCATGACTGGCACTCACAGCAGGTGGGTATTGCATCTCATGACGGGCACTCACAGCAGGTGGGTACAGCATCTCATGACTGTCGCTCACAGCAGGTGGGTATAACATCTCTTATTATGCCTCAAAGTGAGATTGACCAATCAGAGAGCAGAACTGCTAGCCCCATATATGTGCCCGTATACCGTCAGTAAACATCCAAGATGGCTGGTACTGACCTAATATTAGACCGCGTTCCGTCAGTAGCAGTCAATATTGATTTGGCAACACCCGCCTCACATATTTCTCATGAAAACTCTGGTACAGATATTCGTTATTCAACACTGTTTTGTGTTTTAAGATCGTTAATTCTGATGTTAATTCTGATCTTAATTCTGATGTTTAAAGAAACCACGTTCGTGTCTTTTTTTATAAATATTATAGAGAAAATAAGCTTGCAACAGAGGTAACCGATTTACAAATATCAACATCGTAGAACATGATATAGGATGACGTCACAAACAAGAAACGTGACGCCAATGACGTCACCTAGCAATAGAATAGATTGCTGAGCAGCCCGTTGTTATGGGAAGGCGGACTGCTATCAAATAACAGTTGCCCGCAAATTTTTGTTAACATGCGTACACTTTTATGAAAATTCTGTCCATTTTAGCTATAATACTTGTTTAAACATTCACATTTAGGGCATTATAAATTCCATTGTAAACGTTTATGTTTCCATTAAAGCGTTGTATCTTAAACATATGTACTGGTCCAGTGGTTTGTCCCGGTTGTACGTTTTGACATGACATGTGCGATGAAGATACCAACTAGTGTAAACTTGTCGGCATAATAAATTCGTTACGGTGTCTTTAGTGGCCGCATTCTGTGTCATATTAGGTTAGCAGAAAACTAACCTAATATGACACCGCATACGGCAACTTAAGACATCATAACTAATAATAGCTGTCACTCAGGGCAGATGGGTAGAGCATCTCATGACTATCACTCAGGGAAGCTGTGTATAGTACCTCATAACTCAAGGTAGGTTAGTACAACACTTCATGACTGTCACTCAGAGCAAGTGAGTGTAACACCCGATGACTGTCACTGAGGGTAGGTGGGCATAGCATCTCATGACTGTCACTCAGAGCAGGCGAATTTACAACAATCCACCAAATGCGATCTTAATGCTGCTCAATATAATAAAAACCTTGAAATAATTGAAATTGACAACATAACGAGCCCACACCAAGGGGGCTTTCAATCCGGCAGGTCACACATTTTAGCCAACCGATCCTCATTAGACGGCTCATACGTCAAGCATTAGATAATCTATCCTGTCATAGAATCTCCATTGGCCGTTTGTCCAGGAGGACTTCTATACATACTTCTATTTCGTTAATATTGTTATACAGTTGTTCTGTACATTATCAGGGGCGGTCGGGTAGCCTAGTAGTTAAAGCGTTCGCCTTTCACGCCGAAGACCCGGCTTCGATTCCCGACATGGGCACAATGTGTGAAGCCCATTCCTGGTGTCCCCCGCCGTGATATTGCTGGAATAGTGCTAAAAGCGACATCAAACCATACTCGCTGTACATTATCAATCGTACGCTTTTGAAAGCGTTTGTTTGCTTTCTTGCTTTGCCAACGCAAATATCAAGAACAACCTTCTTTTCCACTATGAACATGGGGCGGTAGGGTAACCTAGTGGTTAAAGTGTTCCTTCGTCACGCCGAAGGTCCGGGATCGATTCCCCACATGAGTACAATGTGTGAAGCCCATTTCTTGTGTCCCCCGACGTGATATTGCTGGAATAGTGCTAAAAGCGACATCAAACCATACTCGCTGTACATTATCAATCGTACGCTTTTGAAAGCGTTTGTTTGCTTTCTTGCTTTGCCAACGCAAATATCAAGAACAACCTTCTTTTCCACTATGAACATGGGGCGGTAGGGTAACCTAGTGGTTAAAGTGTTCCTTCGTCACGCCGAAGGTCCGGGATCGATTCCCCACATGAGTACAATGTGTGAAGCCCATTTCTTGTGTCCCCCGACGTGATATTGCTGGAATAGTGCTTAAAGCGATGTAAAACCATACTCAATCAATCAATCAATCACTATGAACCTGACAAAAACCGTCAGATATTATTCGAGAAAAATAGTATAACGTTGATGTGATGCTTCACAAACAAATAAAACAATGAATTCGAGCAAACATTATATTCTTTTCCTAAAGAAATTTCTTCTTCATCCCTTCCACAGTGTCCTTTTGTCAAGGACGTTCGTTTGTTTACATGCTTTTTTTTTTATCCCCCCGGCATATAATGCGGGGGGATATAGCGATCAGCCAGTCTGTCTGTCCGTCCGTCTCTCCGTCCGACTGTCCGTCCGTCCGTCCGTCCGTAATCATTTCCTTTTCCGGGGCAGAACTAGAAAATAATTCATTGTATTTGATCGAAACTTGGCATATCTATCAGTCACATACTGAAGTTGTGCCTTTTGCTATTTAGGAATTTTAGAATTTTTTATTTTTTTTACGTTTCCATGGTAACAAGTTGGACTTAGGTTCTATAAGGGTGGTGTTCGTTTCCGGAGCGTAACTCAAATTTATTTTTTACGTTTCCATGGCAACCAGTTGGACTTAGGTTCTATAAGGGTGGTGTTCGTTTCCGGAGCATAACTCAAAACCCATTCAAAACTTTCATACAAAACTTTGCATGTCTATCAGACTCATGCTGAACTGGTGCCTTTTGCTATTTAGGAATTTTAGAAATCTTTATTTTTTACGTTTACATGGCAACAAGTTGGACTTAGGTTCTATAAGGTTCGTTTCCGGAGCGTAAATCAAAAATACTTTCTTACAAAACTTTGTATGTCTACCAGGCACATACTGAACTGGTGCCTTTTGCTATGTAGGAATTTTTATTTTTTATTTTTTTACGTTTCCATGGCAACAAGTTGGATTTAAGTTTTCATATAGGGTTGGTTCACTTATGAAGTACAACAAATAAACTGTTAAATATTTCCTTGCCAAACAGTGCATGTCCATATATAAAGTACATACTGAACAGGTGCCATTTGATATTAAGGAGTTTTAGAAATGTTTATTTTAGAATTTCCATTGCAGCTATTTTGACATGGGTTAAGAGAAATTTTGGGTCAGATACCTGGTTTGGGACCATAACGTGTTAAAATGGGTGGGGGATATAGATGACTTCGTTGACTATACGCTTGTTTCTTGTAATTTGTCATTTGTTTGCATAAAAAAAACCCACAGAAACCCACGTTTTTCTTTCCATTTCAAATGGATGCGACCATGGTGGATCTTTTGTTGGTAAAAAATGTATGCTTCTTAAGGAACATTCAACTCTTGACTCATTACCTACAGAATTGCACATTTACTTGTGGCTACTTTACAGACAGCTGCCGGGGGGATATGTCATCTTTCTGATGACTCTTGTTATATTTTTCCAGGTGATTGTTCAATGGCAATTTGTGGAGGAGTAACCCTACTTCTTCACCCATCATATTTCATCAAGCTTTGCAAGGCTCGGATGTTGTCTCCCACTGGGCAGTGCCACGCCTTCTCAGCAAATGCCGATGGTTACACGAGAGGAGAGGGATGTGGAATCGTCATCGTGAAACTCTTAAGTCAAGTAAGTCAATTGCACAGTTGTGTGTGTCGCAAAAGTATATATTTTTTACTTATCCTGCATTACTCCTAAATGAATTCACTGATTACCTTACGACAACTAGAAGGACAGCGCTACAGCGATGGTCCTGGGTGAAGAAACAAAGTTGTTGTTCTGAAGTCCCTTTTACTGACCACCTCCGCTGTCCTGTGAGCTTGATGACACCTAAGGTCACCTTCTTTACACCACTGCTTGTCCCAGCGGAGGTCTCCTTTTGAATTAATTTAGACCTTTAGTTTTCGCCTACAATTCTAAAATTGATCTGCGATGGGTGATGTATTCTTTAATATTCTTTTCATTATGTTGTGTAGTTTATATGAATTAATTAGGCGTAAAAAGACTTTTTCCCCGCCACATATTTGTTGTTCGTCGCCATTATAAATTGGTTGCCTGCCAGGGTAGTCAAATTGTTCACAATTCTCAGCTCCGTATGTATAACATATTCTTGTGTTCTTAAATACTACTAGCTTTGGCTTAACAGTGAGATGCGCATACATATACCGGTATAACTTATTGTATACACTTTTAACTCGTAAAATATGTTTGCCGCTAGATCGATATCAATTCTACGGCTTTCTTCCAGTCCCGCTTCATCAACAATTCTTTAATAGCGTAACTTATGCCTGCGCGTTGTACAAATGGTAGTGGGGAAAATCTTACAAAGGTTATCATCCACGTTGGTTGGCTTGCACGCACATGTGCTCGCAAAACTCTAAATGTAAATAGCTTTGGTTTACCTTGAGTTGCGTATATAAAGATATTGTATACACTTTCAACTCGTATCTTTTCCGATAGATTATTTTTCAATTCTGCGGCATTCTTCCGGTACCGTTTCGTCAACAAGGCTTTCATTGTGAAACTTATGCTCCACGTTGTACATATTGTCGTGGGGAAAATCGCCCAAAGATCTTTATCCACGTTCTTCGGCATGCACGCAGATGTGCTCGCCAAATTCTCGCCAAATTCTTAATGTAAATCTCTCTCCAACGAGTTTTAAGGCAGGTTACACGCAATCATATTATGAAGCAATCCCATCGTGAGACGAGACGAATGTCACAATCGCTGAATAGGGCAAGACATGGTTCGCTCAGTACCACCCAACCATTCTTTTCGGCGGGTAATATGACGCCCGTAACTGTGACTGCAGAAGTTCACCCTCCACAGAAATCAACAATACCGGAGTGGCGTGGCAGAGGCAAGTCTCAAGGACGACTACGTACTCACTGTACTACATCATGGTTTTAGTGTACACGTAGAGGTAACCCAACGGCTGACCACAGTTTAACTTGGAAAATCCAACATAGACATACTGTTGGTGAGAAGAGCTGTAGAGATGGCTCACAACCCAGTCTTAACACCGGGGTTTTATCCTCACATCTGCCTGGTACCCATGAAGGACTCAGACAAGATGAGAATTATCCAAATCTCTCCGTGTTCAAAGAACGTCACCCGAAGCGTCCGCATTATTGCCGCCTCACGACGTTGAGACTGCTCAGAATCAACATCAAAGCGTTCGAACCTTGATCAGTCTCGACTATCCATCCCTCCGACACCAGATTCCTCAGGTTCCAGTTTAGTGGAGTTCACTACAAATGGGTAGTGTTCCCATTTGGCATCTCACTGACCCCATAGCTAGCTACAAGAGTAATGAAGCCAATAACTTATCTACAATGCTTTTCTACACCTGACGAACACTTACTTCGAGTCGCAGATAGAGGACGGTCTACTGTGTCATCAACACACGCCAACGTTAGTACGCCACCGGGAATTCACCAGGCAGACGGCTACTTTATCAACTGGGATGGATAATCAACGAGGCGAAGTCGGAGTTATCTCTTTCCTATCGGCTTCAGTTCATAGGAGGCCTGTTCCAGACAGACCAGGATCTCCTATCAGTACCGAGGGACAGATGGCACAAAATTCTACGCCTCTTGTCACCTGCTCTACACCAACCACGCACGCTTCGCCAATGGCAAGTGTTGCTAGGGTTACTCACCTCGGCACAGGATTTAACTAGCATAGGCCGCTAACAACCGCACCCAATTCATCATTTCCTTAACCCTTACATCAGGCGTCATGATCCACTCAAGGTCATCACTCTATCTGCCGGCTCAACTAAGGCCTTACCTCAGTTGGTGGAGTTGTCTTAGGAGGAGGCTCTTTATTCGGGTTATGCCCGAATCTACACCTGTTCGCAGACACCTCCCATCAGGGGTGGGGTGCTCACTTGCAGGGCCAGACAGCCTCAGGGCTATGGTCCGGCGCTCAGCGAAACTGGCACATAAACAACTTGGAGTTGGAAGCTTTAATTCTGGCCATATCACATTGGCAGAATCTACTACAGTCAGCCCAACTCGCAATATCCACAGACAACAGAACTGTGGTGTGGTGCCTGCGCAACCAGGGAACAACGCACTCTCGCTCTCTCCTACAACAGACATTAAGATGCAGTGGATCGTCTGCAACTACAGTTTATTGTTCAGCACATCCCCGGATGTCGAAACTTTCTGGCCGATTCTTTATCGCGTCCACTGAGTGTGAACTTCACACAGAAGTATTCCAGTTACTGCTTCAGAAGTTCGGGCAACCAAACATCGACTTTTTGCTACTAGACCACCAACTAATGACGTGTGTCTCCCCGTAACTGGATCCGCGGACTTGGGCGGTGGACGCGTTCAGCATCCCTTGCGAAGGGCTAAAAGCGTACGCTTTTCCGCCACCAGTTTTACTTCCCAAGGTGACACAAGGGATCAAGGAGACAAGGTATCTTGCTCTCACTTTGGTCGCGTCCTGGTGGCTCAGAAAAATCTAGCAGAAGACGATCCACTACCCCTCCCACAGTGGTCCAACCTACTCATCCACCCTCACAGCAAATTGCCTCACCCAACGTCAGACAGGTTGCGGCTGCATGCATGGTTTGTCTTTAAACGGCGTTTAAATGTGAAGGGCTATTCGGCGCAGGCAGCAAAAGCTATAATAGCTTTAGTTCATTGTTCCTCTCCCAGACGACTGTACGATGACAAGTGGGGATCAGGCCAATCCTATCGTTTCTTCACCATCCAACCAAAATCGATTGTTGTTGGAGCCGAAGAGGAAGGTTTCTCCTGGGCTCGCTGAGGGCAGTTCGAGTTTTCACCCGCCGCTCCAAGACTAAGCGTGGTTCGAGATAGCAATTATTTATACCGATGTATAGTACGTCCACGACCAAAGTTAGTCGCAACACCATATCCCTATGGTAACGCGCAGTCATGCTTCAGGCTTACGTGATATCCAAACGGAATCCGCCGAGAGCGAATTACCCTCACGAGTTCAGGGTGTTGGCTTTTACCATGCCTTTACACAGTTTTGGCCCTGGTTACCAACCAACCCACGACGCAAATAATGAACTCGCCCTATACAGAGCCAACCTACTTCCATTTGCAGTCACTCAGTTACCGCCAGCGGAAGGATATCAGACAATCTTGTTTGTCAACACTGGCTCTATGACGTAGTGAGTAAAGAATGTAGCTGATTAGCTATTATTTTCTTTATTACTAAATGTGTATGGGGAATTTCTCTTTAATTCCTATGTTCAATCGTTTTGATATTTGAACAACCCTACCGTAATGGCGTATTTCTGAACTTTTCTGCTTCTCGGTTTATCGACCAATTGGTGTCGTATTTCAGCTGTAAATTATTGAGGTTTCTGCATTCTAAAGGTTTACCCACCTCCAAAGCGTCCGATACAGATGCATTAAGGAGTAATGCAGGATAAGTAACAAATGTTGTAAAACCTGAATAGTTTTTACATTTTTACATTTTTATACTTATCCTGCATTACTATGTTGAAGGCCCATCCATCGCAGATATGCCCTCCCCTCTGCAGGATAAGTATACAAATGTAAAAAAATATTTAGATTTTACCAAATCGATTAATACTATAACCACGAAACCAGAAGATCATTTGACAGGGGATTACATAAACATCCATCCCATAATTATATATTTCAGGCTTTGCATGATGGTGACAACATATGGGGAACTATTGTTACGGGATTGAATCAAGATGGTCGCCAGGTTACGCCCATCACAGCACCCTCAGGGAAACAACAGCAGGAACTGCTCAATGACATCTACACACGACACGGGATCGACCCGACTGAAGTAGACTACATTGAAGCTCATGGTGGGTTCACGACATTTATATAAAATTGAGTTCTCCACGAATGTTGTAGTTGACCGTAAAGTCTTATAATGTAGGCTATATTATACAATACCCATGACGTCTGCCTCTGAAAGACTTGCAACAATAGCAAATTTTGATGTTTATTAATTGTCATAAGAAAATTACAGGGTTTGACAAATGTCTTATCTACACACAAGCCCACTGGTCCAGTAGGAAATAAAAACTACTGGCCCAGATATTAAGGTACAAGTCCAACAAAAATTCAGAAATTTAAGAGAGCAAACACTTGTCAATATAGTTAAAGTCATTTTATTCATGACTTTACTGACTTTGTTTCATGCACTTCTAACCATGGAAATTTAAACTTCCATGATTGTTGGAATGTCCTTCCCCTCTTTCTTGCACTTTGTGTTGGTTCACAGGGCTTTTCAATTTGCCGCAGTGGCTTTAAAAAATTCCATTACAGAATACCGGTATGTGAAGCGTAGAAAGTAGCATTAATTTGATTGGTCACCATAATCACTTCCTGTTTGCTACGATGGAATTTATTGGTTACTAACAACTGGTCTCTCACTTTCCTATGTAGAGTCGTTATCATAGCACGTGCATGCCACACGGACATACATGTGAATAGCCACTTTACAGATATTTTATACGTCGTGTAACGATCTCGGTAAGGGAGGTAACTAAGTTTGGTAGTTGGCAGAGACAAGTTGATGTACGGCATTTGTTGACTGAATAAAAGATCGAGTGAGTTTTAACCTGAATTAAAGCGATTGGTACACCATATTATTTAAATGGCCAGCTGGTCAAGTTTCACTAGCATTTGTCGAGCTGGCCGGCGTATTTGTCGAACCCCGGAAAATGCTATGTTAATCTTATGTCTTAAACAGTAAGTATTCAGAAAATTCAAAGACTACCTATATAAAACAAAGACTACTTTCTAAAACAAGTATTTATGATGACATTTCGAATCAGTCTGCGATTTGACGACCCTTGTTCAAACAGGCATGTTCATATTGCTTTCTGTTGGGGTTTATGTTGGAAGTCTATTTGTAACAGGTTTGATGTCATCACGTGCCTTGCTCGGGCTGCCCCCAATTTGCAATACAGAAAAGCATGCATTCCATGCAAAAGTTTACTTTTATGCAAGCCCCAAGAATGGGTATAAAAACATGTGCGTTATTCCATATGCATTGTTTAACATCGTGCTGACAACAACCATTTAGAAAAACAACAAAATTACGCAATTATTCAACATTACGAAATGCCACGCCTGTCCGAAAATGAGCGTCTGCGAGCCATCGGTATGCTTGAAGCAGGATCGAGTCAACGTGATGTTGCATGGCAACTTAACGTCCACAGAAACACCATTTGGTGTTTATGGCAACGTTTGCAACAGACGAATGCAGTCAGAGACCATCCTCGGAGTGGCAGGCCATGCGTAACCAATAATCGACAAGACAACTGGATTTGAACAACACCCCTACGAAATCGATTCCAGCCAGCAACAGTACCTGGAAGAAGCATCCCTGGCCTTCGACGAATATCTTCACAAACCGTACGTCGACGCCTCAGATATGCAGGGATTGTCGCCAGAAGACCCGCCAGACGTCCAATTGTGACAGGACACCACCGTCAAGCACGTCTACAGTGGTGCAGACAACGTCTACGCTGGACGGCCATGCAGTTGGGACAAGTTCTATTCACTGACGAGTCTCGTTTTCACTTCAGCCACAGCGATGGACGGATTCGAGTGTACCGACGTCGAGGTGAACGTTACGTCAATCATTGTGTCATTGAAGAAGATCGGTTCGGGGGCGGCAGCGTTATAGTATGGGGTGGCATTACAGCAAGACAGAGGATCCGTTTGATAGTGGTAGAGGGAAATCTCAATGGACAGCGCTCCCGCGACGAGATCATCGACCCTGTTGTTATACCGTTTTTGCGTCGTCATGGCCCAGGCATTACCTTTCAACATAACAACGCCCGGCCTCGTATTGCTCGACTTGTTCAGGATTCTCTTCAACAAAACAATGTGAATGTCATCCCCTGGCCGGCTCGCTCCCCTGATCTCTCACCAGTCGAGCACATGTGGGTGAGATTGATCCAGGTCTGAGGAACTTCGAAACATGCTCCAGCAGATATGGACAGATATCCCACAGGACTTTGTGCGACGCCTGGTCCATTCCATGAGACGAAGATGTGTTGCTTGCATCGCAACCAGAGGCGGACACACACGCTATTGATTTGTAAATTGACATTTTGGCATGTTCATGTTTTTTTTTATGAAATCACGCCTTTTCTGAAGTCAGTATGGCAAATAAAACCATTTGAACACTTACAGGAGTCTTTTATCTGTTGCAAACCGAAATTGTTTCAGATTTGGTATAAAACATAACTTTGCATTAAATCTTATTCAGTGTCACAGGAACTTTTGTTGTTCAGTGTATAATAACTGTGGTAATAGCAAAAATGTTAGTGAGAATAGCATTCACCTAGCAGCAATAGTGGCCAAGTTTCCAAAATAGGCCTAGGCAGAATATTCAGAGTGAAAACAATGATCTTCTCGTCTTGATATAATGTGATATGAGAAAGGCATTCTCTTGCTCCCTTATATAGTCTAAATACCTTCGAGCAGGTTATATATCATATACTCTAGTTGTTCTAGAGGATTCCAAATTACAGTTCACTCCAAAATCATCAACAGTAACAGTAACTTCCACACCACTGCTTACATCAGAAAACTAACCATTGTGAAAACACAATGCTATGAGCTTTTACTGAATCTCAACAAAAACAACGTAATATATTACACTGCCATGTAACAACAATGTCCAATTGACACTACCAAAAGCCTAATCTAAATCTCGACCAACTATTTTGAAAGAAGCGAGAAAACCACATTGTGGTGCTGACAAACCTACTGGGCAACTCGTGCCCTTCATCAATAATACCATTGGTTCAATGAAAAGGTGGCACGCATCACAAACACATGCAAAGGCAAGTCACATGTTCATCTAAAAAAACACACGGGGGCAAAAGATATAGGAAATTACATCGGACATCCTTATTGAAATGTCCTCACATGACTTCCATAAGACATTTTGAAAGCATTGAATGTTGCAACCCAGATGAATTACTTTTGAGCAAGACCCGTTAACCGCTTTTTGATATATTCGCAGAAAGAAAATGTACTAATGCACTTCAAAATTTTTGAAATGTAGATACCGAAGGAGCTTTTGGAATATTGTTCGACATAAAGGTTACTACTACTGGATATTTAAAGTCATCCTTCTTGTTATACAGTCTTTTAGAGCAGTCTTTGTTGCTTTGAATCTTTATGCATACATGTAGATCTAAGTATGAAATATATGAGGCGGTTTCACTGCTTTCTTTCATTTCTAGTTCAGGTGGGTAAATTGGCGAAAGGGAATTGGCTATTTAACAGTTGATGATCATTGATATAACTGAAGCTCAAGTTAAACTTCTTGGCCAAATTGCCTTGTTCTGATTTGTCAATCCGAGCAGAATTTCCGATTCATATGCATAAAGAAACAGATCAGCAAGAAGGGGAGCACAATCGGTGCCCATGTAGATGCTTAATTCTTACCTAAATGTATTACCCACAGATTTCACATTGATGTTATCAATCAGAAGGTCCAGCATTTCACATACTGTTTTCTCAGTAAACTTCAGATGAAATTTGATTTCATTTTTTATAAAATTGCCCTGATCCTGATGCGTGGGATAATGGTGTTAAAAGTTGACAACCTTTTAATGTAATTGAATTTGGTTCTTTTCTGAGATTAAGTTTTTGGGAGTCTGTGAATATCAAGAACGTCCTTCCTTGATTGTATTAAGAATTATGGTTAATCTTTGTAACAGAGAGTGTATACATTTTTTAGCGCTTTGGAATTGAGTACAAAGAGGAATGGGCATGTCTTCAAATTTTAGAGTCGAGTCAAAAGTTGATATTGCTTGTACATGGTTTTGACAGGTTTACACATTTGTTTGAAGGGTGCAATGACATTCCCTGCTATCATAGTCAGTTTGTAGAAATGTAGCTTTAATTGCCATGTGAAGAGATGAGTGTTCCATGGCACAGACGAGGATTGCTGAAGCAGTTGTTCATCTTTACAGGCACAGGGACAAGACGGGGAGACCCTGTAGAAGCTACAGCTCTGGGGACCTTCTTTGAGAAGTTTCCTCGGCAACGTCACATTGGTTCTGTGAAGACCAACATCGGCCATCTAGAGGCAGCAGCCGGAGTGGCTGGACTCATCAAGGTCCTGCTGATGATGAAACACAACACCATCGTGCGATCCCTACACTTTGACAAGCCCAATAAAGATATTGACTTTGACAGGTATCAGTTTGTGGTGCCTGTTGAAAATGTTGACTGGAAACGGGAGAAGAAAATTGCATGTATCAATTCCTTTGGGTTTGGTGGTAGCAACAGTCATGCTGTTCTGAGATCATATTCTGTGGAACGTTTAGGCCAATGTAACGAAACAGATGAAATTGTACCAGTTTGCTTTTCAGGCTTTGATTATGATACATTACACAAATCAATTTCACAGTTCTTCAAACATCATGGGGAGTTACAATTCAAAGCCATGGCATACACGTCATGTGTGTGTAGGGAACACTTGGATTTCAGAAAAGTGTTCTTCTCAGACACCTACAAAGATCTTAAATTACAAATTGAAAGCCAGCTGTCAAACATATCTCCAACTCCCAAAAAAGACAAAGGACGCATCATATTTGTATTTTGTGGAATGGGTACAGCATGGGTTGGAATGTGCAATGATCACATGAAATGCAGTAAATGCTTCTTGGCAAAGATGCAGGAAATTGAAGATTGCCTCTATCACTTTGTAAACTGGTCTTTAATCAAGAGACTGCGTGCTAATTATGATGTGACAGATCCTTTGTTTGGTCCTATTGCCATCTTTGCTTGTCAGGTGTCTCTAGCTCACCTCTGGGAATCGTGGGGGGTGAAGCCTGCAGCTGTTGTAGGTCAGTCAGTGGGGGAGGTGGCTGCAGCACACATTGCTGGGATCCTGTCCTTGTATAATGCTGTGAGGATCATCCTTCAAAGGACTCGGATCCTGGCTATGGTGCCAAGTGGAAAGATGATGCTTATCCGAAATGTTGACATTGAACGAGTAAAGACAGCATGCAGGAAGCATCACAATCAGGCAGTTGTCGCCCTTCACTACAGCCCAGTCACATGTACTATCAGTGGTGATGAGAGGGCTGTTCTGTCAGTCAAAGAGGAATTAGGGCATATTTCAGATAGTAACACCCTGTTTCATGAACTTCCTGTCACAAGAGCTTTCCACAGTCCCTTCATGGCTTCATCTACACACCAGCTGGACAAAATATTATTTCCTTTGCAAACATCAAAGATGGCAACAGAATTCATTTCATCAGTTGACCCGGGCTTAAATGAAGAAGCCATAAGGTCTGTTACCTACTGGGGTAGGAACATAAGGGAACCAGTCAGGTTCTGTGATGCCATTATGAAGGCTGCTCGCAATTTGCATAACAATATCTTTGTGGAAATAGGCCCCAAACCAGTATTAAATTCTCACATACGGGATATTTTCAAACATACATCTCTGGATGTAACAACTGTCTCATCTATCCACAAAGGATCGAAGTACACTGATATGTATAATGCTCTGAGTGTACTGTATACCTCTGGAGTCAGCATCAGGTGGAACAGTTTCTTTGATGAACAGATGCAGCCAACAAGTTATCCAGCTCATGTTTTCAATGGAAAACCTGTTCTGTTGGTATCTGACACTGAACACCAAATGCTTATGGGTAGAACAGAGAATTCGGGCGGTCATCTGTTTCTGAAGGGCACTGTTGAATCTGGATCTGCAAGATTAATTATTGATCCAAACATTTTTAAAAGTGTGTTTGAGCACAAGGTGAAAGGAGCAATTATTCTTCCAGGTGCCGTGTATGCCGAGGCTGCACTTGCCATTGCAAAAAGGATAGCTTTAAATGAACACAAGGTAGTAAACATATCAGTGTCTTTCAAAAGGCTATTAAACCTACACACAACAGGACACATTACAAACATTGAAATCAAGGATAACACAGACAATATCCCCAAATGTGTGATGGCAGTTACTATCAGGAAAGGCACAACAGAGTACGCAGAAGCAGTGATCAGGCAGACTCTGGATGACGTCACACCAGACAGGCTTGATGTGCCATCAATTAACGACCGATGTAAGCACACGCTGACAAAGGAGGATGTTTATGAGAAGTTGGAAAAGGCTGGATTCAACTATGGGGTAATGATGTCTGTTATTCAAAGTAGCCAGGTGGCTGAAAAAGAAAGTCTTACTTTGATTGACATTGGATCACAGCTAGGAAGTGAAATGGAACTTACAGTTCTTCACCCTGCTGTTCTGGATGGAATGTTTCAAGCAGCTGTTACAGTGGCAACAAACATGAAAGAGATGCTTCCATTTTTTCTGAAAGGTTTGGTTGTCAAAAAGAAAATATCAAAGAACATGCTCGTCCATGTTAAGGTTCTTCAAGAAACAGAAACGCATGCAACATTTTCACTATCATTACTGACAATGGATGGTTACGTCATTGCGCACATTGCAGCTTTCACGTTGAAGGTGATTGGCGTGGAGACTTTTAATGTCAGAGACGTTGCTTATGAAATTCAGCCCAGAGCAATAGATCATGGTGTTTCAGTCTATAACAGTAAAACATTTCAGGATGTTTTGATGTTTAGCGATGGTGACAGCTCACTCACCTCAGGGCCCTGGAGAACTCATGATATTTCCACTTTACTCAGGAACAGTTTTCCTCTTGAACTACAACAGGCATCAACAGTGGTTGTCCTATTTCAAGCAATGCCTGAGAAAACTGAAGATGGGTTGTATCTGGAGAGATACTTGGAGGATAAAATCATGCCACTGAGATCTCTCATCCTCTACATATCCGAGAAATTTCTCAAAATACCAATCCTTATCATGACAAAGACTACTCCTGTTGATCTCCTTAATGCAAACAAAAGGCATGATGCACAAGCTTGCATAAATGAAGGTATTCAAGCTTTCATTAGATGTGTCAGACGAGAATTTCCTAGAATGGTCATAAAGCTTCTAAAGCTGATGGAAGATTCGGACACCTGTCTTCAGGCTGTTATAAACGGGGTTTTACAAATCCAAAACTATCCAGAGATCGAGATGAACAACAAACAGTTCTATGGACAGGTGTTTGACCCAGTAAAAATATCTACACCACATGTTCGACCAGAAAGTCAAAGAAATGGTATGGGTACAATTTTAGTTTCAAAAACTAGTGAAACTATTACAGAACCATTTTTCACACTTTCAAGAGAAGCATCTCAGATGGCAGTGAAAGAAGTTAGGTTCACTACCCATTCAATTGCAGTTCACAATACATTCCTGACTGAACAGGTACTCTGTGCTGATGATAACGAGGACAACCCAATGACCTATCCAGTTCTCACTTATGAGTCGAGTGGAACCATTGAGACATCTGATACTGATATAACAGCTGTTATTTGCTACCCACATCTAGTCATACCAAAGACCTGTGTCCCTCAGAAATTTGTGATGGATTTGAAGGACCTCAAGAATTATGAAACAGGATCCTTGTTGAAACTTTATTGCCTTTGGCGATTATGTGATCAAGTGATGAAAGAAACTGCAATATTGTACACACGCCAGACAAAGAAATATGCTGAGTCAATGAAGGTTCTACTGTTGGCAAAACATTCACAACCAGTTGTATTGTTGACACCAGATGAAATACCATCTCACCATGGCAGCCCAGTGGTCATATCTACAATACAGATAACTGCAGAACTAGCACAAATGATTGTTCGGAAATGGCATTGTCTAGAGCACATTGTCTGCTTCAAAAACATGATGAAAACTTCCATTTTAAAACTGGTGAAACGTGAGAGATTACAACTGAAAGTATCCATTGTGAGGTCCTTGGAAATTCTGTCATTCAGTGAAATGGAGACACATATTCCAAAGCTGTACATGTGGATTAAGGACAACAGCAGAAGTGTGGATGAAATATTTCTGTGTTTCAAGTCTGTGTGTGACTCATCTCTTGTGTCGCAGTTTCTACCAATTGACCTTACCGAATTTCTCAAAACAAAGGAATGGAATATTTACAGCGATGCAAGCCTCCATACAGAACAAGTGGGTATACCAGAGAATATGCTGTTTGATAAGACTGGAATGTATCTTGTTGTTGGAGGTTTGACTGGATTGGGATGGGAATGTGTCTTGTATTTGGCTAGCAAAGGAGCAGGATGTGTTGCAATGCTCAGTAGACGTCATCCTAATGATGACAAACAAGCAGACATTGAACAGATATCCAAGGACTATGGATGTAGTGTGACATCAGTGCAAGCAGATGTTCAGGATATCAGTGCTCTGAAATCAGCATTGTCGGAGTTGAAGACTAGTTTCCCTATGTTCTCATTGAAAGGGGTGTTCTTTGGGGCTGCTGTGCTTGACGATGGACTACTTCCGGACATGACAAGAGAGAAGTTCTACACAGCTTCTTCTCCCAAGGTTACTGGATCCTGGAACCTGCATCTCCTGACAGAGCATCTACCACTGGACTACTTTGTGCTGTTTTCATCTGTAACATCAGTCTTTGGAAACGCTGGGCAATCAAACTACGGTGCTGGGAATGGTTTTATGGATGGCCTTGCGCATGTGCGGAATAAAAATGGTCAGAGTGGACAAACTGTTAACTGGGGCCCTCTGCGAATGGGAATGCTACAAGAAAAGAACATAAAGATTCTTGAGTCATATGGATATAAAATCATACAGAAAAAGAACATACCAGAATGTCTAAAACATGTACTCATGTTGAACAAACCGCAAGTTGTCATTTGTGAACTTAACCTAACAAAGTTTGAAGAGACTCTTCAAAGAGAAAACAACCCGGATTTTGCATCTCGTTTTCGGCTGCTTGTTTCTCCTTCTGCATCTCCCGTGCGACCAGCTTCTCATCCAACTTGGAATCTGAAAGAATTCAGGAAAATCTCAAAAGATGAAGCCATGCTGAAACTCATGGAGTATGTGAAAGCTGTTGTTATTGAAGTTGCCATGCTGGACGAGACCGCAATAGATGTTGAGCAGGGAACCCGAGAACTGGGTGTTGATTCGATGAATTTCATACATATCACGACGCAAATCAGGGATGACACACATGTTCAGCTGTCGCCAACAACACTGATCGTCGAAAATGCGACGGTGTCCCAAATTTCGAGGTATATCTATGAACAATTGAGAATAAACGTTCAACAGGAGTAATCAGAAAGAGATATCCTTTCATTTACAGTCAGCATGCATGCAGTCATGCCATCAAGGACAAACCTGACACAGGATATTGTCATGTTATCCAGTATCTCGCTGCCACAGCACATAGTCATGTCATCATGTTGTTACCTGACACAAAATACAGCCATGCCATCAATTAGCTCTCTGGCACAGCATACGGTGATGCTACATTGACCTATCAGTAATCTCGGTAGCAGTCTACTGTTATGTTGACTTCATGCTTTGCATCAGGTTTGGTTTGTTCGTTGTTTAACGCCTGACTCAGCTATATGACGACGGTCTGTCAATAATCGAATTTGGACCAGACAATCCAGTGATTGATATCATGAGCATCGGTCCAAGCAATTGGGATCGATGACATGTATCAACCAAGCCAGCGAGCCTTACCACTCGATCCTGTTAGTTGCCTCTTACGACAAGCATAGTCGCCTTTTACGGCAAGCATGGGTTGCTGAAGACCTATTCTACCCCACATCTTCACAGGTTCTTTGCATCAACCTTTCCCTGTGATTACTCAGTCCCGTACAGGACTGATTATTATGTTGTATACACTTTATACAGATGTTTTGATAACATGAATGTGAAGTTTCTGTGTATCTAGGATAACCTGTCAGTGATCATGATTCTTATAAATTATGACCACTTGGATGTGCTTCTATTACACAAATTAATTAATGGATTACCCACAAGGGGATTGTCAAAATCCGCACCGCATAACATTTTAATTTGATTTCACTGTTAATGTAAGCGTTGTGTTGTACTGTATGTAATCTATAATGTCTTAATGTGTGGTGGTTGTGTTAGTTGCTTTGATTTGGCGTGAACTACTTTATTGCATGTGCTGAGTGAATGGGTGGGTATAAAAGAGATTGTGGCCTCGGGGCGTGGGCAATATTCTTATATAGATGTTTTTTTTTTGCTTATGCCTTTTATATTGAACATTCAATCTTGTGCCTGTATCATTCTTCTCCGTCCTGAAGGCGGGGAAGTGTTAGGGTTACTTTGACTGAAGAAGAGCGCCATTTTTTGTTTCTTTAAACTTGGAGTCTGAGGGTGACTTAATCTGGACATGTTTTAACCAATCGCCTGTTACATTCTGTGACTTAGTCATGCTTAGTAGTGTAGATAAGCCATGCAATTTGTTCAATTATTTTTTTTAAAGAAAGCTAAAAATACTAAGGGGAAATTTATCTTCTTTCGCTAAAGTTAACCGGTCCATATTTGTAATGATATAATATTGCTCATTGAGCTATAGGCATGGTATATAGCTTTATCACACACTGACATTGCAATGCTGTACATCCTCTCTTTTTCAACCTGCGGATTTTGAGAGTGAGTGATTATCTCCCTTAGCATAATAGCTCTATTGCGCACTACCTTTGCAATGTATCGTATGTTATTCAGGCAGCCAGCCAGAAAAATATCCAGGGACTTCAGATCAAACATGTGATGCGCACTCAATCTTTCTCCCTTCACACTTCTATTGCAACACATTGTTCAGCACGATTAAATAGCAGGCTTCTAAAAAGTGTGCCTGCAAATCTTGTAAAAACAACACATGTACAACAACCGGTTTGATATGAGTTGATACTTTGTAATTAGTTGTATTGTGCTTGCTGTGCATAGTTAAACACAGTATTATTTCAAGTCATTTCACTGTATGTAATGAATAGTTCATACCGTTTCGTGCAGTGGTTTACGGTTCTACATGGCTAATTGCACTAACAGTTTCTTTTACTTCCGGCACAGATTATACACACGTATATGTTTTTTGTTTCTAAGTACATATGAAATTAACTTGCTGGTCTGTAGTTTGCAATTATTTTCCTAAAAAATAATAAGGTTGCATGATATATTCACGATGTTGGGTTTAACATAGTAACATTCTTCTAAAGATACTCCAAATCTAAACCGAAAGTAATCCAAACGCAAACCCAGGGAACCAAACGAAACCGTACACAACAGTATTGGATCGTATTCCAGTTATATCATGGCCTGTCAGCTGGATGTTGGAGGAAAGCCCGAAGTGTTGCAGGTCTTAGATGTTTACCACTTTCGTGAAACCCACGAGCACGGGTATGGTGCTGACAAACCTAGAATTAAAATCGGGTCGAACCGGGATTAGAACACACTGTCATAGGTTTCTGGCGTATCAGGTTTCTGCATAGCGAATTGCCGCGCCTCGGGCGACTATGGCAACCGTGCCCCCGTACACAACTGTAACAAACTATCGTACAACAAAGATTTTTTAATGAGGTTGCGTAAGATATAATCATATGGAAACGATATGGGAATGGAGTAAATTCAAGTAATGTTGTACATACAAGACATATTTATAATTGTAGAAATGATCACTGGTATTGGAACTTGTTTCTGGATAACTGTTGGTAAAAAGAATTGAGTAGTGTTCCTTTTTACAGAGTGTATCAAATTCTTTATAATGATTGAGGATTTTTTTTAGAAATGATGCTCTTTCTTGGTTGTTCTTTATAAGTGTTGCCCATCTTCTAAGACATTGCATCACTACTTTCAATATTTACTTTGTGATTGCTCAAAAGACGTTTTGAGAAATGTGACCTATGACCTTTGTTTTTACAATATGTAACATAATTCTCAATATTTATAGATGACTTGATCAACCTGTATGTTCTTAACTTGTTGTTGGATTTAAAGGAATCCCTTAATGTATGTCTTGAAAGTTGGACTGAAGTTTATTTTCTGTAGATTCATTACATATTTTTCTTGGTTTACTATTTCAAAAGTTTGTTTTATTTAACACAGCCAACATTTTGTCCGGGAAGATTGATATTTGCTTCCAAAGCATTTTAAAAATGACATCCATAAGGTCTTGTTATGAATTATTTTTTTATATTATTGGTCCAAATAGTGGGCCTATGCCTGACATGTCCAGTTGTGTGTTTTCTTGACTACTCATAGTAATGATTTATAAAACTGAAGCCGTAGTCTTTCTGGAATAGTTTTTAACATTGCAAAATCTACACGCAAAACTTCACAATTGTATTATTAGTTCTATAAGGGTTTTAACAATGTTATTGCAAACTTTAGAAGGATATCGTCACGAAAGACTGATGTTTTTAACCTTTGGTAAGCACCTGTTGCTTTCATGTGAGTGACTGTATATAGCTTTTGATCTTTCCATTTTTTGAAGTTGTGTACATAGAGATGTGTATCTGTCAGCTGTGGTATTGGTTTTCCTTGTGCTGACCATTTAAAGACATTGTTGTTTTTATTGTGCTTTCCAAAAATAACTAAATTAAGAACAACCAATTTGTACTTTACACCAACCCGCTTCTCGCTTACACTTCCTTCCTCTGCATATGACATTATATAGCGTGGAACAATTGATGCACTGCAGCAATCTCAACTTGTTTGTGTAGTATGTGTATTTAAGTGTAGTCATAGGATATTATGCGGATGTATGGATTTGTGTATACAATGGATTATATAGTGTCAGGTGACCGGAGAGGAACCTGTTCAGTGTTGAAGGCTGCTGGCCTCTGTGGTAGAAGACTGACCAAAGAAGTGACGACGACCGACCAACTGGAACGAGAGAGATATGTAGCCGATGTGCACATTGGACATATGTCTTTGGAAACAGTTATATCATTACTGTGTTGACTTTATTATAAATAGACGGTGACTGTGAAGTTCCATAATGTGCTACTAGTAATGTGTGGTGTATTCTTAAAGGCAGAAGCTACCTCATGTTGTGCTGTATTGCCCGTTGATGTCGATTTATTAATTTCTTGAAAATTGTTGTTTTACTCTTCTCATGTGTACTCAAGGATGAAGGTAAATGTCTTGTACTTAAAATGTAATGGAAAATACATATGGCGCTGTTTGTAATAAAAGTGGACAGAAAATCCTTCTTGAAAATTGTTCTCATGTGTATTTACATACGTCCTGGTATATCGACATACGTCATGGTGTGTTCACTTTTCTGGGTATGCCTGCATACGTCATGGCATATCTACATACGTCATAGTGTGTTCACTTTTCTGGGTATGCCAGCATACGTCATGGCATATCTACATACGTCATGGTGTGTTCACTTTTCTGGCTATATCTGCATACGTCATGGTATATCTACATACGTCATAGTGTGTTCGCTTTTCCGGGTATGTCTGCATACGTCATGGTATATCTACATACGTCATGGTGTGTTCATGTTTCTGGGTACATCTACATATGTCATGGTATATCTACATACGTCATGGTGTGTTCACTTTTCTGGGTATATCTGCATACTTCATGGTATATCTACACACATCATGGTGTCTTCACGTTTCTGGGTGTGTCTGCATACGTCATGGTATATCAACATACGTCATGGTATGTTCATTTTTCTGGGTACATCTACATACGTCATGGTATATCTACATACGTCATGGTGTGTTCACTTTTCTGGGTATGTCTGCATATGTCATGGTATATCTACATACGCCATGGTGTGTTCACTCTTCTTGGTGTGTCTGCATACATCATGGTGTGTTCACTTTTTTTGGTGTGTCTGCATACGTCATGGTGTATTCACTTTTATGGGTATGTCTGCATACGTAATGGTGTGTTCACTTTTCTGAGAAAGTCTGCATACATCATGGTGTGTTCACTTTTCTCGGTTTGTCTGCATACGTCATGGTGTGTTCACTTTTCTTGGTGTGTCTCCATTCGTCATGGTGTAATCACTTTTCTTGGTATGTCTGCATACATAATGGTGTGCACACGTTTCTGAGTATGTCTGCATAAGTCATGCTGTGTTCACTTTTCTGGATATGTCTGCACACGTCATGGTATATCTACATACGTCATGGTGTGTTCACTTTTCTGGGTACATCTAGATACGTCATGGTATATCTAAATATGTCAGGCTGGGTTTACGTTTCTGGGTATATCTGCATACGTCATGGTATATCTACATATGTCATAGTGTTCACTTTTCTGGGTATATCTGCAGTCATCATGGTTTATCTACATACGTCATGATGTGTTCACATTTCTGGGTATATCTGCATACGTCATGGTATATCTACATACGTCATGGTGTGTTCACTTTTCTGGGTATGTCTGCATACGTCATGGTATATCTACATACGCCATGGTGTGTTCACTTTTCTTGTTGTGTCTGCATACGTCATGGTGTGTTCACTTTTTTGGTGTGTCTGCATACGTCATGGTGTATTCACTTTTATGGGTATGTCTGCATACGTAATGGTGTGTTCACTTTTCTGAGAAAGTCTGCATACATCATGGTGTGTTCACTTTTCTGG